CGCCCCCTCCTCCCTCTCGTCGCCCCAAACTCTTCCAGATGCCAGACTGTTGAAGATAACTGAAATTGAAGTTTATCCTTGCCCCCTCACCAACCCACCCACCCACCCACCCACCTACAGAATGAACAAAATGTGCACAAAGATTTAAAGAGGAAAATCATCCGAAAACGAGTCTTTTTCAAACTTTTTTTACACTTTTTCTTTTCCAGCGCGTAAGCCGAGGCACCAGAACTTGCAACAGAAAATGAAACATGAGCGGGAAATCCAATGTAAGTGAATTCTGACGCAAAATTTTGTAGGGGATGTTACGGAAGTGCCTAAATAAGTGGATCACTAACTAGAGACCTATGCTAACTCAGACTCTTATGAGTTCTTCTCAAATCCCTGCCTTCTTCGGATCCTCATCTACGTGGACAAACGGACAGGTTATAATCTCCTCACTTCATGCACTATTTAACACGAAAAAAACCATTCACAATCAAAGGCCTCTTGACTCCATCTTAATTTTCCCGGCCTACTTTCTCGAGCCCATTGGATGCCACCCCACCAATATCAGCCACACAATAAATGGCCTTGCCAACCCATAGCCTGTATCTCCGGTTCGCTTCCGTGCAGAGTTAAGACGGTTCTCTTCCGTGCAGAGTTAAGACGGTTCGCTTCCGTGCAGAGTTAAGACCGTTCGCTTCCGTGCAGAGTTGGATCAGAAGCGAGAAGTACTGAACTTGGCCTGTATCCATCTCAGTTCAGTTTTCCCTTGTCCTCTGCTGTAGTTCTCATCTCTATTGAGGCGTCACAATCGATCACAAAATCAAACACAAACCAGAGATCCTACCTGCGTCATGGGAGGACTTGTGAACAATTCCGAATGCCGCTTGTCCTGCGATGAGCATTCTTTGGCACTGTTAATAACCTTGGAGTGACCTTGCACCTGTATCCAACAGCCGACGAGCCTGTCACGAGGTAGAGTGACCCTTCTTTGCACCCCTATGCACGCTTCCCCCCCGCGTTCCAACAATGTTCCCCCCCCCCTATACCCCTCACCCCCCGCGTCCCCCACGCCCTCCTTGCCTTCTGTTGTAGCACTGCTCATAACCTTGGACTGATCTTGCACCTGCATGCAACAGGTCATGAACCTATTAGAGTAACCCTACCGCGCACGCATATGTACTCCTCCTCTCCCTCTCTCCCCTCCCCGCCCCCTTTTTCCCAAGTGTTTCTCCCCCCGCACCACAACATGCCCTTCACCCCGCATCCCCCCCCATGCCCTCCTTGTCCTCTGTTGCAGTCCACATCTCTACTGAGGCTGCATCTGGTCAAGAAATCAAACACAAAGCTGCATCTGGTCAAGAAATCAAACACAAAACACAGTTCCTACCCTGTCGTGGGACAAAATGAAATCCATTCTGAATGCTACTTGTCCTTCAATGTCCATTCTGTGGACCTATTCATAACCTTGAAGTGATCTTGCACCTACATCCAACAGGCCACGACGAGCCTGTCAAGATCGAGTAACCCCTCCTCTTCACCCTCATGCAGACCTGTGCACCCTTTCCCCCATGTACCGCCGACAGTGTTTCTCTCCCCACGCCCTTCCCCCCCCGCCCCCGGCAACCCCCCACGCTCTCCTCCCACACTTCCCAACACCAGGCCTGATATAGATTCTATCACCATTCAAATCAGGATCCTCCGTACAGGAGGCCCTAACCGTACGTGCTGCTTCTTGTTTGTTACATATCAAAACCCGTAAATTGGATCGAGCATCATGGAGGAGGGAAAAAAAAAAAAAAGGTAACTGCAAGAGCTGCTATAGAGGTAGAGGAGGAGAGGCATTGCATGATGCTTCTGGGATAAGTACCTGAAACACCTGTATCCGTATTACGCAAAGCGTACCTCATTGCGTGTGAGCCCGCAAAGTTTAAGCTTTAAACTTTAAACTTTAAGATGTATATCTCTGTGGCAGAGTCTGACACACATCCTGCTGGAAGTCCTAGGGGCGAATCCATTCAGCCAAAGACAAACTGGAAACAAGTCAGAGGGATGAAAACTTTGAAAAGTCGAAAAGAAATCCATGAAATTAGTTAGCAAATTAAGTTAACTAACCCACAGAAAATCAATGCTAGAAAAGAGCCTAGAAACTTAGTAGATACTAGAAAGGTGTTTTCATTCCCTAGAATGCCTACATACCTTTTCGTCGACAAGGGGAGAAAAGCTCCCCTGGGACAACAGAGACCGCATTCAACGAAAAGAGAAAGAGAAAGGAAATCACACAATACCACCCTAAAGGAATTGGTCTGACTCTGAGATATATCTCACGCCTCTAGAGTCTAAACCCTAATCTTATCTTGACCACCCTAAAGGAATGCTAACCTTAGGGTTATATTAGGGTTTAATGAACCAATCGAAAACAATCGAAAACACAGTCTTCCTGGCACACGAAGCCCTTAACCAACGGAAAAACACACTCTTCCTGGCAATAGAAACCCTTGAACCATCAGTACATGGCCACCTGGGCCGCGGGTCTGACACCTCAAATACTGGAGGCGCTAAACGAAAGCGGGGGCCGCTGATCGAATTTATCAACGGCGGGCCCAGCGTTTGACATTTCGGCCTCCGAGTCGTTTTCTTGTGGCGACAAGTTTCGGACTGCAAGGCTGGGGCCGTGTACTTGTGGTCTAACCAATGAAAAACACCGCCTTCCTGCCAAGAGAAGCCGTCCACGTTGAACCCATTGCCCTGGAATGACCAACTCAATCCGTCCGGGGACCATACCGCATAGCCTAACCGGAGTCAACTCGGTCCGTCCGGGGACCGTATAGCCTAACCGGAGTCGAGATGACATTATGAGAAGCAGTCGTCCACCATTCACCCAGCAGATTGAGGTCACCATGGGATTGCAATTGTATACCCCTCGTGCAGCTACACGAGGCACTAAACCCACTCAAAACCGTTCAGGATTGCAATGATTTAACCCCTCAAAGCGCACCCACTTAACCGCTCAGGATAGCAATTTATTTACCCCTCGTTGAGCAGCTACACGAGGCACTTAATACCAACCCCTTAACCGCTCAGGTTGGAAGACCATCGCTCTGACTCTCAGGGAGGGCACATACTCATACTAGCACACACCTAAAGGCTGATTGTATTTAACTGCGATTACGGTCGGACCTAGACGAATCTGACTGCAATCACGTCCAGAGAGCTTCGTAGAGGAAGTCCTACTGTTGTGTAAGTACGCCTCCAACCGCCCTAAAAGACCGAAAGTTCGAAACCCATAAACTCGGGTCAGGAAGGAAAGAAGATTCAAGATTCGTTCTTGATGAACAGCGAAAACACCTCACGCCCCGAGGATTGATAATGAGCAACAGGAAGCCGACACGACAACATCAAAGCCTCCGGAGGCGCTTTTGTGACCTAGTGTCATCATCATGAGGGGTTGAAAACCCCAAAATTTTGAAAGTAACCGGTCGTAATATCCACAGACAGCCAAGAGCTGACTGCAAACCCCGTAGTTCGAACTATTATGCTAAACTAAGTAGCCATGACTTCCCCCAGCGCCAACGGTACTCACGAAAAAGGGCAGCTCCACTTCAACCTTGTCTAGGTGTTGGAATCCTTAGAATATCTATAAATAGATCATGGAGTTGGCCACTGTCTAACCACCATCTACGCTCTCCGCCCCTAGCGAACCCATCCATCTTCAACCCTTTCTCTAGGTTGTGAATCTTTAAGGATAGCTATTAACATAGATCATGGAGTTGGCCACTGCCGTACCAGCATCGATGCTCTCTGCCCCTCTCGCCAACCCATTCGTCTTGTTAAACCATTTCAGTCCCCTAAGCATACAATGGTTGGTTTCGAGACGTAACGCCGAAACTGGCACATAATTTCCCAAATCTGAAGCTGAAAGCCGAAGCAGAAAACTGGTGGGACATGAAGCTGGCCCTGCATTTGCCTCAACCCACTTCACTGCAAATATATGATCATACTCACACAGGCACCTTTTTGGAATGCATCTGACTCCAATTACAAACAGGTGCCCGATGGATCTGACTGCAACTACGTCCAAAAACAGTCAAAAAGTTCTACAGTGTGAGTACTCCCTAATAGCGCTGATTTCCCGAGAATCAGCACACAGCTTGTCAAAGACTTTTGAGTTCAATAAGTCTAAATCTCTAGGGGACCGAAATTTAGGAACTGAAAGAGAAAATTCAGGAGAGGGGGGGGGGGGGGGGGAAGAAATTGCTAGAAGAAACGGCGAAGCGAAACTACGACATTTCACTAATTGCAAATTTAAATTTTAAAATTTAAACTACGAAATTGGCATGGGAAAATCCCTTGTAAAAACGGTAGATTTTCAGATCGGCCTCACCCAAGAAAAAACATGAGACGATCATCTGCACAGAAATAAACACATTCAATCTTGCTAGTTCTACAACGAATCAGAGCACAACACCGATTTGACCTGCCCCACATCTCCCCTTCCTTTCCCCACTCTGTGTCTCCCTGTCAAATGCAAAACACACGAGTCCCCACCCACTCTATATCTCTACGTCTATGTGCATGTCTATTTGCCTGCCTGTCCGCCGACCTGATTGCCTGCCTGCCTGTATGTCCATATGTCCGTCTGTCTGTGTCTCTGTGTGTGTGTTGTAGACTGTCACGACAACAACCCCTGTGTGTGTGTGTGTGTGTGTGTGTGTGTGTGTGTGTGTGTGTGTGTGTGTGTGTG